ACATCCGGTATCATACCTATCGACACATTGTCGACATTGTCAATTACAATTACAACTTTCAAGGCAAAAACAATAGTGGTTATAACATTTATAGTTATATCTCGGCAGCATTTTAATATTTTCGAAAAGAACTCGCAGCAATCGAACGATCCAAAAGCCCTGGGAACGAGGTTGCCAGACCCTCAATATCAATGCGTGTTAAGAAATGTAAATTAAATTTACATTTAATTTAATTTAATTTAATTTAATTTAATTAATAGATGCCATATTGAATGACAATCTTCATAAAATACAGCAGTAATGAAACTTGTGTACTACTTTAATCTTTATTGTTGTTTTCGTCTTATTATGATCAATAATAGTTTAAAGGGCGGAAGTTTTGGGCTCTAGTGGAATTTTTTCCTCAAATGAAATATGATCTTCCTGTTTTCTTAACAAGTTGCTTAAAATTTGCAGTCATGTGATACTCTCAAGTCTCAAACTTCATTTCAACACAGTTCTGACGCAGTGTATAAACACGTTTTTGTTGACTGGTTGCTCATTAACATGGCACAAACAAATTACGCCCTTGAAATAGATGTGAAAACGTCCTCAGATCCTAACGGTAAGTATAGACAGTATAGCTGCATTTTAAAAAACTCTTATAGATATAGATAGATATAGAGACTTTATAGTACTAATGAACTTGTGGCCCTCATAAAATTTACAAAAAATAGGGAGTATATCTATCGGTTTATTTACAACATTTATCGAATCCGACTCGAATCCGACTCAGTCTCAACTTTTCCTGTTCACTAAAAAATACTTACCTACGGTGATTAACAATATTTATTTATAATCATACATTTATATAAAAGAGAACATTAACTATATTACAATTACATAATTACTTAAATTTGAAATCAGGAAAAGATGTAAATCGTTTAAATTCACTCTGGTGCGTACAGAAGCAATTATATAATAAGTATTTAAAACAGTTATAATGGAGCTAGCAGAATGGAAATACATATGTGCTTTAATTAAATACATATGTGATGTGCTTTTATACGCATTACTTATCGTCGCGAAATTTTTAAAAAACACTATTAAACAGTACAAGATTTTAACAGCATTGAATATTGAGTTGAGCTATGACTTGTATGAGAATTATACTTCGACATCAACATTGTAGACTAGCGTGTCTTCAGCAACACATATAGTTATATGGGTTGTCTTGTAAAACAGAAAGTAAACAGCCACAACCTGCTAAGCTATGTTTGAATGCGTTTTGTAGACATTTTTTTACTATATAAATACTGAATAATATAGCTTTCTAGTAGGGTCCTAGCCCTTTTGTATTATATATTAGAGAAAAAAATTGTAGGTGAATTGGCGAATATATATAATAAATAAAAATATAGTTTGTGGTTAAAGACATTTCATTGGAAAAGCGTATTAAGTAATTAACTTTTTGTGCGTATACGCACATATGAAAAACGCTTAACTGGAAAGCAGCCTTAAATTGCAGGATTAGTTTTGTGTGGCAATGCTTGCAATTGCGACATACTATATGCCGACATGCAGCTTGATGCCGGCATGAGATAGGGTTATAGTCCATATCACGGATGTCACGAATGACGACAGCTTTTTTGGATTCCTCTTTCCAAGCTCTCAATCGTCTATGCATGATCCTATAATGTACATCTTGACCTTGACAGCGACAATAACTGCGTGATTACTGATAATGATTCATCTGACGTCTCACTTTGATACACAGCAGTTCGTGCGGTAGATTACCTAAACAGTTAAAGCTTAAAGCCACTCATATACGTTTATGCTTTTATTTTTAGTTCCAGTTCCAAAAGTAGCATGTAGATTAATAATTGCATGCTTTAAATTACTGGTTAGGACAGGTTAGGATACTTAATTTACATTATAAAAACAAAATTGGTTAAATCAACAAATTGGTTGTTTAATTAACAAGTCTCAGTTCTGACAGAATCATCCAGCCGCTGACGTCATACCACTCTCCTCCGCAAGGGCACAAAAAATAAAAGGCTTAAAATCAGTTTTCCACTTCAATCGTGTCGTACCGAAACGTAGCATATTTCTTTGTTTCCTGAGCGGTAGTGTGGAACTAATGACTTCGACACAAAAGAAAAGGCTACGGCACGTTACGATACGGTTGAAGTGGAAAACAGGCTCTTTTCGATTCATCGCAAAAACCAACTCGCAAGCTCGCTGTGAGTACTTTCGTCCAATCACAATGCTCGACAGTTTATTCTAATCGGATGCCACTCGCAACAGGCTTGCAAGTTGTTTTTTTTTCAATGAGCAGAAAAGAGCCTTTAATTTAATAAACGGACTTTTTGTTGAATTTTTATTAGTCTCACACGACGTTTTGCGCGACTTAAAGTCTGTGCCTCTCCAGAGGAGAGTGACGTCATACCAAGATTAAATGTTTTCATGTTTGTCGGATTTATAATATTGCGGTTTGTATACGTGTTTTTAAGGGGTGTAGTTAAAAGGCGGGCGCGGACTGGCGGACGCGGACCGGCGGACGCGGACTGGCGGACGCGGACTCGCGGACGCGGACCCGCGGAAAATTTTTTTTTACCAATTTTTTAATTATTGGAAATAAATTTAATTATAAATAAATTAATATTAAAAAAAATATTAATATTATTATTAATAATAATTAACAATTATTCTCCGAAGGCGAGGTGATTATCGGTGAATAATTTATTCACGATGATCACCAAGCCTGAGGTGAATAATTGTTTTAGTATAATTTCACAGGTGATTATTTGGGAAAAAATAAAAAATACACATTTCTTCGTCAGTTAATTGACAAAACGGCTTCGGCCGCCATTTCGAAAATCGCTTAGGTGCGTTATAATCACCTCAACGGCAACCAATCAGAGTGGAGAATTTTCAATAATTACCTATGTAATTAATAATAATATTATATATTACATTAATAATATCATTTTTTCTCCTTCACATCATGCGACAACCGAATTCAATAATTGTTTAATAATCTCGTGTCACGCGTTGACACCAGAATTCGATTTATTCATACAGGATCAAATATTTTAAGGAAAGCGTCCAATCACATTGTATTCGACTTAGTATGTACTTTAACTTTCGGTAACACTGTAATAGTATCATGGCGAACTACATAACAACTTTTAAGTGCATTCTATGAGTGTCAGTCTGCGTGCAGTCGATTGAAGACCGGAAAGAAAACTGATGCGCGATAAAACGCGGCTGTCAAAAGCATCACGATAATTTGGATATTGATGGTCGTGATGATTAAGATCTTACGAAAATTTTCCTTTCAGTGGCGTTGAGAGTGCGGAGGATAGAAAGTTCTTTATGCAACAGTTATCGAAAACGCAAGTTGTTTTCCGGTTTTCCATGTATAAAGTTCTGATTATTGATACAGTATTGTTAGTTTTAAAATTATTAAAGGACCATTGTTACGTTATGTATTGTCTATATTTTCCCAACATGAGAGCGCTCAGTATGACACCCTTGTTTTAATCCAACCAGCTGTTTCGTATCTAGCTTCAAGGTGATAATTGTACGTTACTTGAAAGTCAGTACGTGTATTCAGACTAATATGCGTTGCGAGCATAATAACATAGAAACGTAATCAGTTCTGTTTATGCGTTGCGTTTACCGTATAGAAACACAGCTGTAGGCAAAGTATAAAAACGACGAAAGTTGCAAATGATTGAACCATTGGTACAGGGCTTCAACTTATATATTTTCTTAGTTAATTGGTAGCATTCGTGCACTTCCAGATCAATGCACTCTTGTGCATTATAGTTAACAGTAGTTTAAAAATTACAATATTTTATTCAAAACTTTACATATTCTATTCGTATCTATTCTATCCTCCGCACTCTCAACGCCACTGAAAGGAAAACTGGTTTTCGTAAGATCTTAATCATCACGACCATCAATATCCAAATTATCGCGATGCTTTTGACAGCCGCGTTTTATCGCGCATCAGTTTTCTTTCCGGTCTTCAATCGACTGCACACAGACTGACACTCATAGAATACACTTAAAAGTTGTTATGTAGTTCGCCATGATACTATTACAGTGTTACCGAAAGTTAAAGTACACACTAAGTCGAATACAATGTGATTGGACGCTTTCCTTAAAATATTTGATCCTGTATGAATAAATCGAATTCTGGTGTCAACGCGTGACACGAGATTATTAAACAATTATTGAATTCGGTTGTCGCATGATGTGAAGGAGAAAAAATGATATTATTAATGTAATATATAATATTATTATTAATTACATAGGTGATTATTGAAAATTCTCCACTCTGATTGGTTGCCGTTGAGGTGATTATAACGCACCTAAGCGATTTTCGAAATGGCGGCCGAAGCCGTTTTGTCAATTAACTGACGAAGAAATGTGTATTTTTTATTTTTTCCCAAATAATCACCTGTGAAATTATACTAAAACAATTATTCACCTCAGGCTTGGTGATCATCGTGAATAAATTATTCACCGATAATCACCTCGCCTTCGGAGAATAATTGTTAATTATTATTAATAATAATATTAATATTTTTTTTAATATTAATTTATTTATAATTAAATTTATTTCCAATAATTAAAAAATTGGTAAAAAAAAATTTTCCGCCAGTCCGCGAGTCCGCGTCCGCCAGTCCGCGTCCGCCGGTCCGCGTCCGCCAGTCCGCGCCCGCCTTTTAACTACACCCTGCCATGGGCGAGTGATCGCGTGCGCGCACCTGCACACATGCTTCGAATTATTGCAGTGCGCAATTTACCACGTGCCTCGTTCTGTATTAATTAATTACATTTGGAATATTGGGAATGGAACTTGCAATTTCCCAAGTTGCTTACCTATAAATTACTGAAGTGCTATTTAAAGCACAATGTCAAATTGTGTTTGCACAATGCTGTTTTTCAAAACCTTGGTTCTTTTCTCGTAACTATTTAATTGTGCCCATATTTTTAGGTAATTTAAATCATGCAAGGAAGGAGTTCGTCCGTTTTGCAATCACACGCCTGGCATTAATATTACGTGCCTGTAAAATGCATTTGGCCAGACCTAACTAACTGATTTGGCACATTTAAGTGTGCCAAAATTCGTTATTAACAAATTTTGGCTAGCCACATGTACGCATTGCGTACCTATTTTTAAATCTGTCACATTCCTTACAAATCAAATCCTTATGTGTTTAATTAATTTAAATTAGTTATACTATACTGTAGAGCATGGCTTGTGACTTCCACTTACATCATTCTCCATTTCCTTCTGTTTCAAATTTCCTTGGAGTTCCGCAATCAACGCATCTTTTGCCTTCAATGCTTTTGACTTCTCTTCGAATGCCTTAATAGATACGAAGAATAAAATTCAAACGAGTTGCATGTAAAGTGGTAGATAAGAAGTTAGCATCTGCAGATCATTTGGAAGTTTGATATAACTGTATGACATTTGAAACAACCAGCTTAAGGTCATGATCAGGTTAATGGCACATGCATGGCTGCAGAAATTCGGGGTTAAAAAAGCAGCCGGCTGTCAGCTAGCTGTCACCGGCATTTTCACAGCACTAGCCGGAAAACTGCTAATTTAGCAACGACGAGTTTTTCTTCTTAATTCATTGATCTATACACAGATTTTATATGAAAAAGATGCTGTCTTCACATAAAAAGATCGCGTTAAGCATTCTGTTAGCCATGAATCTGGTATAGTCGTGTATTTCTGGTAACGATCAATGTCTGGCATAATGCATGAAAGAGCCATGTACGAAACGTTTGTTCTTAGTGAATATTTTAAAATTTTATTTTGTAATGGTTATTTAATTACCTGTGTTATGCTGGGCACTGATTTTCATCGATTTTTGACATGACTTTTTGAAATGATTTTTTGATATTTAAAAAGACTGGGTTTTTGCTGCCCGTTTTGCTGCAGCTTTTGTACATTGCAGTATTTCCTGTGTAATCATTTCATGTTCGACTTATCAAAGCCCGAAAAAAAATCGCCGCTACAAAAAAGGTACCGCCTACAAATATATTTAAATGATTTATTTTAAACCCTGAAATTAACTCCGGCTAACTGTTAGTAAACAGAGCGACGGCGATATCTAAAACTCTCGCGTGGAATTTTACTTGCTAATTTCTGTTCGTTTTCTTGTATTAATATCATATTAATAGCCTCGTTGCACTTTCGTCCGGCGTAGGTAGTGAGGTTCTTACTAACGGTAATTCTTCATATGTAATTATAAAAGTGTAAAATGTAAGGGTGTTTTTTGTCGCGTCCTCGTACTAGATTAAAGGAATACCAAACAGTTTTCCGTGCAGGATTGCGTGATCCATGCACGAGGGATGTCGCCAAACTTTCGGAAAGCGTAAAAATACTCGAGCCGTAGGCGAGTGTATTTTTACGCTTTCCGAAAGTCGAGCAACATCCCAAGTGCACGGATCACGCTATCCTGCTTGGAAAACCATTTGATAATTCTTTTATAAAATAACTACAGTGAAACAATGACATTTTGAGAATCCCGCGAAAATCCCGCGAAGGCCTTTTAATTCCTCGTGCAGGATAGCCTGATTCTGCACGGCTATTGACCAATCAAATTGCGTGTTTCACTGTAGTTATTATATAATAAGCCTTGCTTAAGTTCGCTATTACAGTACGTGGGTTAAAAACAGTCACATATGAACATACGGAAATAATTCATCCGACTCAGGCGAACTTCCTGGCAAACCTGCATGGCTCGCGTGAACAGGCCCCAAGGGGCTAGCTCCAAAATCATATATCAATATATCCGCTTTAAAAACTCTGAATCAATAATTCTGAAGTTACACGTCAACTCCAAAACCATTGTCTACAGTAAACAAATTAAATCAATATAATTAAAATCAAATTAAATCAATCTATTGTAAAAAAAATACTTATAAATCGTCACCTCTACATCTTTAAGGCTCGCTTCATCAATGATATCTTGTGCTTTCTCAAGATTCTGTTGAAGAATACGAAACTTCTCCTGCATCTCGTCAAGCTGAAGTGAAAATAAAGATTTTAGAATTTGTTTGAATTTCCACTGACGCATGCTTATAGACAGTTAGAATCAACTGAACTGCTCCAGATAGACCCATTATTTTTTCATGTTTTTTTGGCAATCGATTATTTTTAACTATAATCGAATCAACAAAACAGCTGCACATAGCATAATATCAGGATAACTTTCTTTCCCAATTGGGGAAAAATTAGTAAGTAGGGCTGTAGGGGTGTGCATAGCCTATCGAAGGGAAGATGGCTGTGAAACTCATTAGAATAACAATATAACTCATTATCTATGTTGGTCAACATTTATTCATAAATCTGGTCCTTCACCGTCACATGTGTTATTGTATTCTTGCCCAACTAACCAACAGCAATGTTTTAGGAAAGTCACCTATCAGTGACTCGAACAATCGGGAAATTGGTATTGGTGGATTTGGTAAAAATACAATACACACGTCACGGTGAAGGACCAGATTTATGAATAAACGTTGACTAACATAGATAATGAGTTATATTGTTATTCTAATGAGTTTCACAGCCATCTCCCTTCGATAGGCTATGGGGTGTGCTAAGCTGTTTTCCGAAGGACACACCTTAACCAGATCGGGTCAAATGCTTTCTAAGGACGCTTCTGGCAGCTACCTTATGACTCATGTTTGATCATAGAGTACAGCTACGGTGGAAGGGGCAAATTTGTCCCAACCCACCCCGTTAACACTCCCTGGGGGCCCCTCCCTGTGGAAGAACATCGGAGTACTTGGAGAAAGCCCACGAATTTCTGTCATGAGTCCGCAACGAGAGTCGCACCCACACATGGTTTCTAGACTGCCGTAGTATCCATTGAGCTATAGTCAGCACTTGTTTCCATCTGCCAAACTGACGTGACGTCATTTTTGGCAGATGGAAGAGGTGTTAAATGGCAATGTAATTAACCCAAACCCTACCTCTACTCTAACTCCTAACCGCAACCCTATAACTAACTATAACCAAATTAATAAAAAAATCCAAAAAGAAGCAACTTCAGAAATTGATCAAATGACGTAATATCAGTTTGGTAGATGGAAACAAGTGAAAACCTTGAGATATCGAGTCAACGGGGATTGGTAGCGAGTCTTATGGAATTTATCAAGTGCAGGATATATTTTCGCGACGACTTAACGTTTGTCTTGGAGGATGCGCAGTGTTTCAGTTCTATTTCAGAACCATCCCCCTTCGCTGTACTCTGTAGTTTCGGAATAATATGAAACTAGTTTTTCATATCTCTAAGGTTATAGTTCTAGTTATGTCTTAGCTTATAAGTCCATAGTTCAAACCTCTGAAATATCTCTAATATGTCTACTTAAATATATATAAAATTTGAGTGATTTCTGGCATTGTTCAGCGTAAATTAGTTTTTCAATGAAATATTAAATCATCCAAGCGGTAGGTACGTATGTCTATCGTTAAGAGATTTATTCCGGGTATTAAATCTTCACCGCTGAAGTGCTTTTGTGTAAAATCTCTACAACACTCACACTGAAATAGTACACTTTGTTTACCGCGAGGTTTTAATACTATGACCACAAGTAAACATGCCTACTGCCTACATACCTGCATTGCGCACATTGCTTCAACATAAAACGTTGTTTTGTGTATAAAGAGTAATTACGACAGCAAGGGTGCATAAACCGATGCAGCAACGACGATCAGAATCAAACATCAGGAATGTAAATTTGAGAGCGCACAAACGATCGACGCGAGATACGAATGTAACTTGATCTAATGCGGTGTACATCAACCAGACAGTTTTTAGCTAGGGAAAATCCCGCATGCCGTCTTAACTTTTAATAAGCTTAACATAGACCTGGTTCAAACGATTGAAAAATTCCGTTACTTTTAAGTTTCACCTTGAGCCGTGCTCTTAGCCATTCGGCCGTACAACTACTTTTTTTATACAACCACTTTTCTACTACCGGTATACAGTAGACAGTAGTGAAAAGACAAGTTATCCCGCTACGCGGAAAAGTTGTGTTCATCTGGGAAAAGCATTATCCCGGTCACCGAGATCTCGCCTGTCAACAAGCGAGATCTCGGTACATGGGAAAACTTTTTGTCTCATATGATCGTGGTGTAAATTTTCATATTATTTTCATACCAAGGCGAGATCTCGCTTGTAAACTTGTCGAGAAGTTTTCTCGCTAACCGGGATAACTTTTGCCCATATGAACCTAAAAATACTTGCCCCTAAAAATACTTCTGAAAGCCTTACGAAATATGCTACTGTGCTTCTAACAAAGGTGGGTCGTAGCGAAGTAGTTGTAGTTCGCTACTGTAGCGAATTACAATTCTCAAGTGGCGAGTAGTTTTTGACCACTTTTACAAAACAGTAGTTGTAGCTGTAGCGAACTACATTTTTTCAGTAGCGAAATAGTTGATTACTTTACAAGCGATAATCGCTATACGCTACTATTACTAATTTTCAAATTTCTCATCACTCGACTAGACGTAAAAATAGAATATGCCAAATCACACTGCAAGCTGATAGAATGCGTTTTAGCCTGTTTATAGAGTTTATGGTTATAACTTTTGTTGCCACTCGAAGCACTAGTTACAAAAACATCATGTAACATCATGATAAGATACTTTGTCTAGTTTGTCGTAACGAAGTACCAAATTTGAAGTAGCTGTACTGGGAACGAACTTGTCCACAAAATGTTGTAGTTAACCCACCCTTATAGTTTCAAATCACACTACGCATTAATACCACATTATACGTACCTCGGATTGCTTTAAGCGAAGTTTTTCATTCAATTTCTGGAAACAAAAAGAAAGACAAAGTTTGCATCAGCATAAAACCCGACACATATGAATTTTATTAACAAGGCACAAAATTCTAGGTGATATTTCTCTTGTCATTTCTTGCGTTACCAAATGTTCTTTTTAGAGACTTTTTTTCATGTATTGTTGCCAAATTTTATGCTGGAAAACAATTTTGAACAAAAGCAAGGAACTTAAACTATTTCAAACCCAGTGGCGGACACCAGGGCGGGGGGGGGGTTCCACTTGGTTATGACTATATTCAATTTTTATTTTTTTATTCGTTTCTCAAGCGGCAAACGAACCAATCTCGTTCCCCGAACATGCCCGTTCGCAGGTTAAGGGTGGGCATAGCTCTGGAGAAATCGAATTGATTCACGTTGGATTTCCAACGTGAGTTCTACGCATGCTCGGCAATTGTTGCAAAATATAAACAAAGTATTTAGAATTTGTCGAAAATTTGATACTTTTTACAACTGAAATTGAATTGAAATTATACGGATCGAAAGCTTTGCAGTAATAAATTTACAGTAATAAAAAATAATAAAAAATTTAATAAAAAAATAAAAAATACAGTAATAAAAAATAAAAAAATAATAATAAATAAAAATAATAATAAAAAATAATAAAAATAATAATCTAAATAATAATAATAATAATAATAATAATAATAATAATAATAATAATAATAATAATAAAAATAATAATAATAATAAAAATAATAATAATAACAATCTTTGCAGTAATAAAAAATACGGATCGAAAGCTTTGCAGTAATAAATTTACGTGGTGTTTCCACAAACAAAACCTATTATATTTTATCACCATGCAAACATACAAAGAACTTATTGAAATTGAATTAAAACAACTAGAAATTCTGGGGGAAAGCTTCGGATTGATAGGAGTACAACTACCTGAAAAATACAAGGAGAACTTCGACGTTTCGAGCGAAGGCGCTTCGACATGCACTGTTAGTGCTTTTGTATACATCGTATACAATTTTTGTAGCCAATCACAGGCCTGAATCAATTCGATTTCTCCAGAGTTATGCCTACCCTTAACCTGCGAACGGGCTTGCTCGGGGGAACGAGATTGCAAACGAACTTAAAAAGCTTTATCTGTAAAATTACGCTAAAATGAAGAGATTTTAGATGGTACGCCAAAGCGAAAATGATATCTGAAGTTCAAGAAGTTTTGCTTATATTGCTGTATAAATATGGCGTCAATTTTAAGCATCAATGATAATGGTATTTAAATTGATAATATTTAACTATTATTTCGCGTTTCTCAACCGCCAGATACTTTTAAAAAGATTGCTATCTTGCATGTGTAAATTACAAAATAAATATGCATGTTGAGAATTTCGCCATTTCAGTCATCGGAGCCTTAGTAGGTAAATGAGATTTCAAATATTTTTTGCTGCTGTTATTATATTTTAAATCGTTTTCCCTCCTTTTTTTGGAACCAAAAGTTGTTTCGTGCGACAAATCATTGTTATTTTGTCGAAAGAGTTAATGAAAATGCAACGTATAAAACTGTTATTGAAATCCGTTTTTCTGATATCCCCAATTATCAAGGTGCAGGGTAAGTGTTATCAGTCGACATCACAAAAACGTCATCCAATAACTGTTTATTATACAACCAGGAGTGTTTGTAAGTAGTTTGCATATATGCATGAGTTGATTCATTTTACAAGTTGTTTACAACACTGCCCTCCGTGTTGTATCAGACATACAACCCAATTTCCACGAGTGTTGGTATAACTGTATATCAATACGGAAAATTTTTTACATTTTTTTATAATATAGCACAAAGAAATATAAAGAAAAAAATTTCCGTGTTGACATTGAGTTACATCAACACGGCTCTTAGCAAATCAGCGTTCAGAATTTACAAATGCTATATTATAATTATATAATATTAATTATAATTAATTATAATTATATAATATTAATTATAATTAATTATAATTATATAATATTATATAATATTAAATACAGTATATTAACATAAAATTATATATATTTTGACAATTATATACCTGTCCCGTCGAGACACCCTCTTGTGATGCTAAGTGAAATTTTCTATCACTTTCATACAGCGATCCTCTCAAGTCCTTTATGAAGAAAAATATTTATCCAGGTTCAGGGCTCGATTGTACGAAAGCCGGATATCACTCTGAGGACAGTGATTTTTCAAACTTTCTAAAATTTAGTATTCTTAAATCAACGTTTCTTTATATTAATTGTGAGGTCCCTATATATCCGTATAGTTTTATAGCTTTTCAAGTACAAAGGTTGAAAAATCACTTTCGCCTTCCATTTTTCTCCGAATTCTATTTTCATCGTTTCAGTATATATAAAATGGGATATGTCATGTAACGGAGAGCAGAATAAAGCTGACTGCACAGAAAATGTAAGTTGACCATCCCAAATTAACGTCGTTGTAAGAAGTGGTTTTCCTTACTTCCTTACTTGATATAATGGATTTATTTCAAATTTATAAAAATTTTCGAATGATTTAAAGCCGATTTCCATTCA